AGCCTACAAGTCCCTGATGCTAGCCCACAAGTCCCTGATGCTAGCCTACAAGTCCCTGATGCTAGCTCACAAGTCCCTGTTGCTAGCCTACAAGTCCCTGATGCTAGCCTACAAGTCCCTGATGCTAGCCCACAAGTCCCTGATGCTAGCCTACAAGTCCCTGATGCTTGCTCACAAGTCCCTGATGCTAGCCCACAGCTCCCTGATGCTAGCCCACAAGTCCCTGATGCTAGCCTACAAAGTGCTTAAGGGTCCGGTTCCCATCTCCCTGAATCCTCTTCAAAGGCTTCTGTCCCAACTGGACCCTCCGGTCATCAGTGGACTGTGGTCTAGCAGAGCCTTCACCACGCTTAAGACCATCCAGACTGTTTAATGTGTCGTTCCAAAATGGAGGAACCACCTACCAATCTACAAGAACAGCAGAGTCCCTGTCTGTCTTCAGAAACTCTTGAAGACCCCCCTCTGCAAAGAGCATCTCCTATCCTAACCCTAACCCGTACCTCTACCCCCCACAGCTCCTTCTGTAGTCTCTCTACCTCTATCTCTATCTCACCACTGACTCTGATCAGGGTTTCCCCTCTGGATAGCTTATTGTCATAGTGATGAGAAATGGAATATTGGGTCTACTCTGTAAGTCGCTTTGGAGAAAAGCGTCTGCCAAATGCAGAAACAGAAACATAAACATAAAAAAGCCCGATATTAAATGGTTTGATTGAGATGCTGGACAACCAGTAAGCTTTTGGGTCAGTTCGGACATTTCTGCCGAATCAAAACAGGAAATGTCAGCGTTTTCCCTTTAGTTTGTTTGACTCCATCAAAGCCTCTTCGGTTGGGTTTGAGATTTGGATGTAAACTGGACCCGGATTAGCCCTCGAAACATGTGTGGAGCTAAGCTAACTGCTATCAGAGCCATGGCTTACCAGAGTAACAAAAAAAGGGGAATCTATCGCGCTCGGAAAAATCCCCCCATTTTCCAGACTCTTCAGCCTTTGCTACTACACAGGTCTCCGTCGGACCGTTGGGCTCATGGGCTCCCCAGTAGGTGAACGAGAGGGGGCTTCCATCCACCCACTGCCAGCCGTCTCTGAACAAACCGATCCAGACGTTTCCCCCATTGGCCAGATTCTGGATCTGGAGGTTGTCTGAGCGGTCCCTCACAGTAGCCAGGCCTTTGTGTGTGAGGAGGCAGTTCTTCTGGGCATCAGCCATCGTCAGGCGCTCGTCCACGTAGAAAAAGGTCATGTCAGACCCTGAAACGACACCACAGAGACCATCAGCTGGGGCCGGAGGGGGCCGGGTAAAGGATTTGTAGTTAGCATTTTCTGCCTTTAACAGCATCTTCTCTTGTGTTTATTATGTTTATGTTCCTGCATTTAGAAGACGCTTTTATCCATTATCCATAGAGGTAGATATAGAGGTTGAGATAGAGGTAGAGGTAGAGGTAGAGATAGAGGTAGAGGTAGAGAT